AAGATGAGGAGGTGGAGGATGTGGTGATGGAGGAGGGAGAGGTGAAGGAAGAGGTGGAGGAGTTGAGGGAAGAGGTGGAGGAGTTGATGCTGGAGGTTACACATACACACAGTTACACACACACACTCAGTTACACACACACATGCACATAGTTAAACACACATATACAGTTACACACACACACATGCAGTTACATACACATACACTCACACAGTTACACACATAGTTACATATATACACACAGTTACATACAAACACACTCAGTTACACACACACATGCACATGCACATAATTAAACACACATATACAGTTACACACGCACACACACACATACACGTTTTTGTTACCTGGTGGGTCCCTTTGACAGGGCCGTTCAGAATGGGACCCATAGACATAATCTTTTTTTACCAAGACTTTAAGTAATACAAAACAGTCAATAGAAACCAAACAACTATTTTAAAGGAATTTTATTTTAGATTTTGTTTTCGAATTGCAGTGATTCTATTTTTGACATAGAATTTAATGCCACTCCATGTCCGATGTCTAAGGTCATCTGGTGAGGCATTAATGCAGGCCAGGCAGTGAGACTTCCCAGGGACCTTTCCAGTCTGTATGAAAGGTGTCATGGTCTTCTCCACAGCCTTCACCTCAGATGCAGACCATGGCTTTCTTACACGTTCTAGGGAGAGAAATAAAAATATATTAGCAATATACACTCCCAGGGTGAGGACCAAGCAGCCTGGCTGTAATCCCCCACCTGGTACACTTACCAGAAGGGGCACTGCCACTACCATGGGGTGCATCTGGATGAATGGTTGAAGGTTCTCCGCTTGAAGTTTCTTTTAGCCCGTCCGTTTGTGAGAGGATCTCTACTGCTCTCCCTGTCGCACAGAAAATAAAAATACAAGTGGCCTTTAGGGGAAAAAAATCATACATATTTTAATAATATCAAGAATTACCTTCAGGCTCAATTTGTATCTGGTCGAGGCTCTTTCCTTCGAATTCCGTCACTCTTCCCTGCTCCATGGCCATCAACACTTTGCTGATTTTGGCCAGCTCCAGTGTCCCCTCTGGTAGTCTGTAATATTGCCTGTGGATGCGAATGTCATGGCCGAGGAAGTTGGCAAGTATGTCCATCTCATTCTCTTTCATATTGAGAACTGTAGACATAGTAGCTATGTGCTTTCTAAGTTTGGTTGAGGATAGCATCTCTGGATGCACCGCACCACATTCTTTGGCTACCTGGCGTAGGGAGTCTGATCCCCTGATGTGGGTGTCTGCGCCCGGGCGGGAAAAGAAGTATGGGTTATGGTCAGAGATGGAACAGGCCCTTCTGTTCTCCACCAGCACCTCCATCGAAGCAATCATTTCAGGAGTCAAAAGAACCGGCACTTTCCGACTTCTTTTCCCTTTAATTTCAATGCGTTGAAAATGCTGACACAGCTTTTTCTCAAGTTGGGACAGTCCCAGAGCAATGTCAGAATGGATCCCAGTCTTACTTCTTAAGGTAAAGGCTGTCAGTGGCATCTTTGAAACCTCACCTTCCCTTCTTCGATTGAAAATGATGACCTCACAAAGAGTCAAAACTGCCAGTTTAGACCAATGCTTAGACGTTGGCTCACTTATTAGGGTTTGCACATATTCAGGTCGACATACCTCAATATGTGCATGCATGGCTCTAACGTCCTCAGTCAGAGGGAGCAGGTCCGGAGTGTTCCACTTGGCTTGCCGGAGGGTCTGTAGGGCAGCAGAAGAAACACAGACGTCCCACCTCTTCTCAAAAAGCAGCCGGCTTCGTTGGAGGTTTTTAATAAATAGTTCATCAACACAATGCTCCATTTTTGAGTCACATTCAAGAATATCTGCTAGCTTTCTGAGGCTATGGCCGAGTTTGAGGGCCAAGGATGGAGTCTTGTATTGATTTGTTTCCTCATCATATCCAGCCACAGACCTGACTGCATCAATCACATGGTTAAAGTTGGAAGGAATAAAGAAATCCTTAATTGTTTTCAGTTTCCCTGCGGTTTTTGCTTCGTTAATTAACCTACCGACTTCTCTCATTTTCTGCCTAATGTAATCATGCTTTGTCTTATCATGCCCGTGTTTTAAGTACAGGTGCTCTCCGAGTCTCAGAATCCCCTTTTCTGCTTTGACAACACCCGTGACCTCATCCTGATGCATTGCCGAAATTAAAGACCACAGCTTTTTGCTGATGCCCTCCGGTACAGGCTGGGCTAGGGAGCAGAGGGACTGGACCCTACTTCTACCTGGTTTAGCCTGGGCATCTTTCTGTGAAAGCCGGCACCTGGCCACATGCCTCCACAGCGACTTTCGCTTAAGCAATGCCCCACAGTCTATACAGTGCAAAAACTCACTGGATTTAACTGGGCAATTTGGCTGTTTAGCTGGGACTAAAGTTCCAATGCCGGCCTTTAAAACCTCAAAATTGTGCTCACGGTTTCCACTATTCCTGATCAAATCAAACTGAAGTTTACGTGCTTTAGATTTCACAGGTAGAGCCAATGCTCTGGCTACGTCACTTTCATTTCCATGTTTTCTAGTCAAATGACGGGACATTTTGTGGCAGGACATTGAACAGTAGAGGCAGAAGTGTCTCTTGCTGTATACTCGCCCCCCATTTTTCTTCTTTTGCAGCTGCATGATAACAATCTTATTTGCCTTTGGTTCGTCACTTTCCGAGTCTTGAAGAAAAGTGTTTTTGATTTTTCTTTTTCCATACTTTTTTACAGGTTTCTTCTTGACAGTTAAATCGTCAGAATCTGAGTCGACTTCATCAATTAGGGACTCTTGACTAAGCTGCACAAACAACAAATAATTTGTAATCATTCTATATAACAATTTGAAGTCATGACTTGTAGTCAGCACTTACCAGTGGTTTGTAAGCGTGCGCTTCAGTGTGCTCCTCCATGATGTCTTGCAGCCTAATGAACCACACACTTGCACCTTTTTCTAGCCTGACACCTGATTTCCTCTGTTGTGCTGCTCCATGATTGGCTCCAGCCTGCTGGACTGAAATTGCCCCAGTGTGCCCCTCCTTGATATCCCGCAACCCACCACCAGGGTTCCGACACATAACACACTTTTTTCAGGAAAGTAAACCTCCAGGGGTCCTTTCCATATTTTTACAGAGACTGCATAAGGACCGTTAGAAAAGCATTACCCATTGATTATTAAGCTTGGACCAGTGGGGTCCGGTGTTCGGGCCCCACCACGTAAAACCAGTCCCCATGACGTGAGTGGAATCTCAGGTTATGGAACCCACCAGGAGTTGAAAACAAGTGCACAGTTACTCACTTTAACACACCGCTCCAGACACACACACACATGCAGATATTTACACACACACACACACACATGCACACATTTACACACACACACACATTACACACACGGTGGCTGAGTGGTTAGCACTCTCACCTCTCAGCAAGAAGGTCCTGGGTTCGAATCCCGGTCGGAACAGGGTCTTTCTGATTGGAGTTTGCATGTTCTCCCCGTGCCGGGGGTACTCCGGTTTCCCCTACCACTAAAAACATGCTCATTAAGTTAAATCCTCCAGCTCCGGTCCTGACCAAGCCGAGCATCATCTTCTGGAGATGGGTTCCCGGGCACTGTTACTATGGCGACCACTGCTCCTGACGTAAGCCTTTGCGGCATCAGGATGGGTCAAATGCGGAGGATTGAATTGCCCTATGGGGATTAATAAAGTGCACCTTTACCTTAATACACACAATTTGACATACTGTACATACACACACATAGTAACACACACACAAACATAGTTTCACACACACACAGTATAACACACACACACACACACATAGTTACACACACACAGTATGACACACATAGTAACACACACACACACACAGTTTCACACACACAGACAGTTTCACACACACACAGTATAACACACATACAGTAACACACACACATAGTAACACACACACACACACACAGTATAACACACATACAGATACACACACACACACACACACACACACACACCTCCTCTGCCGCCAGCCCCCTCCAGGCCCACTAAAAATAAACAGTCCCCATAGACTTCACTGACCTCCCTGTGAGTGGCACAGGGTTAAGACGAATACACGACACATAGACACACATTAGGGTCTTCGGTTCGAGACGCGCCATGCTCCAGCGGCCAGAGGCTGCGCAGGTAAACAAACAGCCTCACACAGATGCGCTCTCTTTAGGTTGCGTGTCCCGTGGGGAAGAGTGTGCGTTTAGTGGTTCCCCCATGGCCCATAGTCTAGCCCTGGCCGTCAGAGCACTGTCAGACGGAGCCACTGGAGCGCCAGATATGTCTGAGAACATTCCTCCCTCAATGTGTTGTTGAACGTGTCAGGTTTGTTGTCAATTAAGTAACGGCCTGTCACCACCATGTTCCACCAGGCAGGGCAGGAGCGTGTGTGACTGTGTGTGTTTGTGTGTGTGTTTGAGTGTGTGCGTGTGTAAATCTGCGTGTGTGTAACTGTGAGCGTGTATAACCGTTGTGTCTGTGTGTGTGTGTTTTTGTGGGTGACTGGGAATGACATACAATTATCACAGTGCAATATTGAGGTTGCACAATATTGAGGAAGTGCAATATTGAGGTAGTGCAATATTGAGGTTGCACAATATTGAGGAAGTGCAATATTGAGGTAGCGCAATACTGAGGTAGTGCAATATTGAGATGATGCAATATTGAGGTAGTGCAATATTGAGATGATGCAATATTGAGGTAGTGCAATATTGCGGTAGTGCAATGTTGAGGTAGTGCAATGTTGAGTTAGTGCAATATGGAGATGACGCAATATTGAGGTAGTGCAATATTGAGATGACGCAATATTGAGGTAGTGCAATTTTGAGGTAGTGCAATTTTGAGGTGGCCCAATATTGAGGTGCCGCAATATTGGATGAACACAAACAATAGTCCAAAAGTAAAACTCACTAACTCGTTGCATGTTCTTCTGGTGTCACAGAGCAGTGCAAGGCTCCGCAGCAGGGAAGGAAGCACTCAGTCTCCAAAAGCCTCAGACACCTCTTCCAGTCCAACACCAAGTTTTTCAAAAGTTTAAAAAGGTAAGTCCGCCTTCTTTGCAAACGTACGGACTCGAAATGACAACGTTGTGGTGTTGTGTGTGTTTGTGTGTTTCCAGAGGGCTCTACGTCACCACAATTATGTACAGAGACGACAACATTCTGGTGACGCCGGAGGATCAGATCCCTGTGGTGGAGGTGGAGGACTCCTACTCCAACTCTCTCATGCAGGACTTCTTATGGTTCACCAAGGTACCATCAGTCAAGTCAAATCATGGTTTTAGATGAGGGAAGAAGAGGAAGATGAGGAAGATGAGGAGGAGGTGGAGAAGGTGGTGGAATAGGAAGAAGAGGAGGTGTGGGAGGAGATTCCTACTCCAACTCTCTCATGTAGGATTTCTTGTGGTTCATCATAATCCGTTTTTTTATCCAAACATTTCATTAAATACAGAGTCATATTTTTTTGTAACAACCACATGACCCAGCGCTCACGGCCCATGGTCTCATACAGAAACACTCCATTCTAATATTATATATATTTTTTTTTTATGTAGCACAACAGAGCTTAGTAATACGCATTGGGCGACACATATATATATATTTTTTTTTTATGTAGCACAACAGAGCTTAGTAATACGCATTGGGCGACACATATATATATATATATATATATATATTTTTTTTTTTTTCGAACCATGCACAATACACATTTTTACATATCCATATAATAGAAAAATAACCCGTACCTGGTTCGAAAAGAAGTTGGATGAAGCAAGTGCTTGTTTGGTTCCAACCCCCTAAGACAAAGTGTTTTAACAATATCATGCAGTAGAACACCACAGTACATTACAAACAGTTATACAATACTACCACCGATGGTATAAGACAGACAACACACACACACACACACTGTGACAACACACAGGCCCACATTGTAGCATAAACATCATATTGTAAACCATGGATCCAAAACTTTACTCATGAATGTTCTCAATAATGACAGAAAATCATGAAATCGACTGGAACATTGCCTAAAAGTGCATCTGATTATTCACGCCTAAACATTTTCGTGAGTTAGCGGTCGTATTTGGAGAAATATCAAATCTGTCAATAGTATTTGTTGAATATTTTCTATAAAAACTCTTTAATAGACACAAAGACCAGCTCCACTGTTTTTTTGATCACTTGAATAATTTGTTTTGGAACGTTTGGAGCAAGTGTTTCCAGAAGGCTGATGGGAACCCAGGGAAGATGGCTCCATGAAGCATCCACTGTCTGGAACTAATGTCCCATGTTGTAACCTCCCCACGCAGTTCTCGGCAAATGTTTCCAATCACATTTAGATCCAGAGAATCCTGGTCCTGCAGCAGGAGGAGACCGTAACCTTTGTGACATGACGACATTTATCTCACTGCTCTGTGCAAAAACAATCACAGTTTTCTCTGCATTCTGTGGGGATAATAATGTCTATAGTGGGCTGAGCATCAAAGTACCTTCCAATACGGTGCCGAAATTACGTCGCCTTGGCAACAAAGAAGCAAAAGATATGTTCACAAACGGTTCCTTTGCAGCGCATTTCTATATGTGTTTATGTAACTTGTAAATGTAGAATCATTCCCAAAAAACACCTGATTTTACATTTTTACACTAGTGAAATAACAAAATACAGTATTTGTCTCCAACACTCGCTGTGGGCCTTTATTCCAGAGCACAGGGGCTCATTGTAAAACTTTTTACAGCCGTCTTTAGATTGATAGATACTTTATTGATCCCCGTTGGAGAAATTCAGGTGTCCAGTTGCAGCAAAAATAAAAAACACAATTGATCATTCTAAAAAACTTCAGGTCACAGCAGCAGAGATGGAGTAGCCTCTGGGTGGAGCAGGACGGGTCACAGCAGCAGAGATGGAGTAGCCTCTGGGTGGAGCAGGACGGGTCACAGCAGCAGAGATGGAGTAGCCTCTGGGTGGAGCAGGACGGGTCACAGCAACAGAGATGGAGTGGCCTCTGGGTGGAGCAGGACGGGTCACAGCAGCAGAGATGGAGTAGCCTCTGGGTGGAGCAGGACGGTCACAGTAGCAGAGATGGAGTAGCCTCTGGGTGGAGTAGGACGGGTCACAGCAGCAGAGATGGAGTAGCCTCTGGGTGGAGCAGGGCAGGTCTTGTATCAGAGTTTGGATCTGCAGGCGTGTTCTGGACCAGTGTTGTTGAATGTGAGAGTTTGTGGTCCTCAGGTGTCGTACCTGTGGGAGGAGATCCCGTGGCTGCAGCAGTGTCTCAGCCCCACACAGACCTCCTGCTCCTGCACACTGCAGACACGGCTGAAGATGCTGCAGGCGGTGGCTCATCTGCAGGTGCCTCATCCACCCTCACAACACCACCTCATCCACCCTCACAACACATCATCCACCCCCGCAACACCACCTCATCCACCCTCACACCACATCATCCACCCTCACAACACATCATCCACCCCCGCAACACCACCTCATCCACCCTCACAACACATCATCCACCCTCACACCACATCATCCACCCTCACAACACATCATCCACCCTCACAACACATCATCCACCCTCACAACACATCATCCACCCTCACACCACATCATCCACCCTCACAACACATCATCCACCCTCACACCACATCATCCACCCTCACACCACCTCACCCTCACAACACCACCTCATCCACCCTCACAACACCACCTCATCCACCCTCATAACACCACCTTTACCTTCAGAACACACTCTTCTAAATGCTGTGCTCCTCAGGGGATGCTGGGGACCCAGGACCTGGGGCAGGTGTACTTTGAGCCCATCAAGGACAAACATGGGAACGCTCTGCTGGTGCTGCTGAAGGACATGAGCACCAGTGCCAGTCTGGATGGAGTTCGCTGGATGCAGCTTTGTAAACTGCAGCTCCAACGCAAGTCCATCTCGTCTCCAGAGGAGCCCACTGCATTGGACACGCTGCTCATCACGCTGCATGTAAGGAAAGGGGTCCTGACGGGGCATCATGGCTTAATGCTCCTCTGTGTATTTGTTATATGTAACAGGATGTGACACGTGACTTAAACTTGTATGTAGTCGGGCTTCGTGATTAATCACAATCAAATCAAAATTCCAATCGGGAATTATTTAAGTTCTTCATAAATAAAAAACAAAGCACTTGGAATTCTTTGTTTATTTTATTTTTCATATTTTTCTTCATTTATATAAACTATCAACATGACTCAGGTCTGACTAATAATGGTGTGAGAAAAGAAAAAAAGTTGGTGCAGAGGTTGTTCTCCCAGTGGAGGAGCTCAAGTTTCACAGGGTCTTGTTATCAGAGGGAAGGATGGAGGTGAGACTGACATGTCAGAGCTGTATCAGACCGTTGTAGTGAAGAGGGAGCAGCGTCTGCAGTCAGAGCTGTATCAGACCGTTGTAGTGAAGAGGGAGCAGCGTCTGCAGTCAGAGCTGTATCAGACCGTTGTAGTGAAGAGGGAGCAGCGTCTGCAGTCAGAGCTGTATCAGACCGTTGTAGTGAAGAGGGAGCAGCGTCTGCAGTCAGAGCTGTATCAGACCGTTGTAGTGAAGAGGGAGCAGCGTCTGCAGTCAGAGCTTTTCACATTGTTGTCGTGAAGAGGGAGCAGCGTCTGCAGTCAGAGCTGTATCAGACTGTTGTGGTTAGAGGGAGCTGTTCTATATTCACTGCTCAGTCTACGCCCCCTCCCTCTCCTCTGGTCTTGAGTTTTGGAGGAGACCAGGGGACGACCCAGGACACGTTGGAGAGAATATGTCTCTCAGCTGAGGGAGTGTGGAGGAAGTGTGTGTGGATTGGGAAGTCTGGGCCTCTCTCTTAGACAGCTGCCCTCTCGACCCGGCAATGGATAAAGTGGAAGACCATGGATGGATGATAAAAACAACTTAAGGGTTTATATACAGTATATCTAACATTTTCTCAAGGTTAGAAGTCAATAAATATTTTCTGAAACGTGTGCGGATTCTGTGTGAGGTAGTAGCTTCATGTGTCGCTTATTTCAATGGTTCTCCTTTGAAGTTTTTATTTTTACTCTGAACAAAATTAGACTTTTTAAACATGCATAAAAAACACATCGCAACGTTGTCAGAAACTGTATTTTAAACTTTTTACAGTGCCTTGCGAAAGTATTAGGCCCCCTTGAACCTTTCAACATTTCGCCACATTTCCGGCTTCCAACATGAAGCTATAAAAATAGAATTTTTTGTCAAGAATCAACAACAAGTGGGACACAATTGTGAAGTGGAACGAAATTTATTGGATAATTTAAACTTTTACTTAAACTTAAACAAATAAAAAGCTGAAAAGTGGGGCGTGCAATATTATTCGGCCCCCTTGTGCAAATACTTTGTAGCGCCACCTTTTGCTGCAATTACAGCTGCAAGTCACTTGGGGTATGTCTCTATCGGTTTTGCACATCGAGAGACTGGAATTCTTTCCCATTCTTCCTTGCAAAACAGCTGGAAGAGCGTTTGTGAACAGCAGTCTTCAGCTCTTTCCACAGATTCTCGATTGGATTCAGGTCTGGACTTTGACTTGGCCATTCTAACACCTGGATACGTCTATTTGTGAACCATTCCATTGTAGATTTGAAGATAAATCTCCGTCCCAGACTCAGGTCTTTTGCAGACTGCAACAGGTTTTCTTCCAGAATGGTCCTGTATTTGGCTCCATCCATCTTCCCATCAATTTTAGCCATCTTCCCTGTCCCTGCTGAAGAAAAGCAGGCCCAAACCATGATGCTGCCACCACCATGTTTGACAGTGGGGATGGTGTGTTCAGGGTGATGAGCTGTGTTGCTTTTACGCCAAACATATCGTTTTTCATTGTGGCCAAAAAGTTCGATTTTGGTTTCATCTGACCAGAGCACCTTCTTCCACATGTTTGGTGTGTCTCCCAGGTGGCTTGTAGCAAACTTTAAACAAGACTTTTTATGGATATCTTTGAGAAATGGCTTTCTTCTTGCCACTCTTCCATAAAGGCCAGATTTGTGCAGAGCACGACTGATTGTTGTCCTATGGACAGACTCTCCCACCTCAGCTGTAGTTATCTGCAGTTCATCCAGAGTGATCATGGGCCTCTTGGCTGCATCTCTGATCAGTCTTCTCCTTGTTTGAGATGAAAGTTTGGAGGGACGGCCGGGTCTTGGTAGATTTTCAGTGGTCTGATACTCCTTCCATTTCAATATAATTGCTTGCACAGTGCTCCTTGAGATGTTTAAAGCTTGGTAAATCTTTTTTTATCCAAATCCGGCTTTAAACTTCTCCACAACAGTATCTCGGACCTGCCTGGTGTGTTCCTTTGTCTTCATGCTTCATTTATACGGAGACTTGATTACACACAGGTGCATTCTATTTATCATCATCAGTCATTTAGGACAACATTGGATCATTCAAAGATCCTCACTGAACTTCTGGAGTGAGTTTGCTGCACTGAAAGTAAAGGGGCCGAATAATATTGCACGCCCCACTTTTCAGTTTTTTATTTGTTAAAAAAGTTTAAATTATCCAATAAATTTTGTTCCACTTCACGATTGTGTCCCACTTGTTGTTGATTCATGACAAAAAATATTTTTTTTATATCTTTATGTTTGAAGCCTGAAATGTGGCGAAATGTTGAAAGGTTCAAGAGGGCCGAATACTTTCGCAAGGCACTGTAACAAAGAACACTCTAAACCAGGCTTATCCAAACTAAGGCCCACGAGCCAAATGCGGCCCACTGTGTCTTTTTTTGTGGCCCTCTGCCGCTGACAGTAAGTGGCATTGAGGCTCTTTCACAGTGTCATCCAGCCAACTTCAGCTCCGCCTCAAGTTGTTTCAAATCTCAGCACCTTTAGAATCCAATTGTTAACTTTAATTGTATTTATGTAGCAGTATCGTATGTATCAGTGTAGCCATGGTGTGAATCTATCTTTCATACCCCACTTTTAAGCTCAGAGCACCCTTTAGAATCCATGTTTTTGGGCCCCTGGATAAGTCTGGTGAACTGAAGTGGCCTCTTACTAAAAAGTTTGGACACTGCACACACAATAGAAAATTGCTTTGCGCTGTTTCACGGTCAGACTCTATTTGAAACAGTTCTATAGTATTGACTTTTGCTCTATCCAAATGTATGGACGCTCCTCTGTGTGGTGGTCTGTGTGTTATTATTGTGTTGTAATGTTTTGCTCTGAGTCCAGACCAGCGCAGGCCCTTTTTTTCCACCGCACTAGAGTTCTGATCCTAAATATCTTCATTTGTTTTGACTCCAGCGTAAACTCCTTTGGCCTCGTGGTTCCTAAACAACGATGATGTCTGCCGCTCGCAAAACCACAGTTCACAGAAATATTTTTTGTGGCCAGTTATAAACAAATTGGAGGATGACTTTTAAGAACATGTATTAGATCGAGGGGCTGGTTCTATGAGCATTGGGTAGCAGCTGATGGCCTCGACCCAGAAATGAACAAAAGGGAAGAAAATGGATGGATTAGATTGAGATGATTTTGGTAACACTTAATGAACAACTAATTAAGAGAAAAATAATGAACCAGAACTCTAACCCTGACTCTAGATTTTTGGCCATAACTCCATGTAAAAGCCAGATCTCGTCAGACCTCAGAATGCTAAGCAGGACAGGGCCTGGTTTTTACCGTGATGGGAGACCTCTGAGAACACCAGGTGCCACAGTGAGGCAGCTGTAACTGTAAAGTGCCAAAACTGTGTGTCCTTGAGCAAGACACTTCACCCACATTGCAGTTGGTGGTGGGAGGGGCCGATGGCACATACTGGTTGTCAGTGTGCCCCAGGGCAGATGTGGCTACAGAAGTCGTTTATCACCACCGTGTTTGGAGTGAAAGAATAATGACGTTTGGAGAGTTTTTGAGTGTCCTGAAAAGCGCTATATTTTTATTTTATTAATTGTTTTGTTTGGTTGGGACAGTAAATGTTAATGAACATATCACTCGCTAAATAATAATACTGTTTTATAAAGCACTCAAATTATTATTATGACTATTATTAGCCCTAACCCTAACCCACATGGTGTCAGTTAGTAGTTTGTTAGATGTTGAATAAGAACTAATAAGTGCTTAATAAATACCAATTAACAGCTGATTAACCATGAATTATAAACTACTTAGCACTTAGTCCGCTGTTAGTTGGTGAGGGCTAATCTTAAGTGTGCCCCATATTTCATGTATTGCTTGTGTGTGATTCTCAGGAGAAGCTAGCGTACCATCGCAGGAGCAGGAAGGTGCTCTCTCCTGGTCTGTACCTGGGATACCTGAAGCTCTGTACGTCTGTGGAGCAGATCCGAGCGCTGGTGCCACAGAAGCTTCCCAACGTCCTCTGCCACACCAAGATCCGGGACAACTGCAACGTGTCCCGGTCAGAGCCAGCGGAAAGACAATTCACTCTTTCTGATGTTTCTTGTTGTACAATTACTGTATGTCATCGTCAGTTTGAAACAAAGAGAATAACAGAACACTGCAGTATTTTTATTCATTTTTTTGTATGGACACATTGGGCAGCGAAGGCCTCAGTTGACTTCGGAGTAGTTGAAAGTGACCTATGAGGCTAAATAGCATATTATTTTGGTGCCCCTGAATATAAGCCACAACCCCTAAATTTGTAAAGAAAATCAATGTTGTCTACATATTCTTGGGTTCCATATAACGTCGGGGCAGTGGCGCAAATGACAGGACCGGACTGGACGTACCCTGGCGATGCAGTCTGCTGGGTATATACCCACGCGAATAGAGAGAGACACAAGAGTTTCTTCCGTGTTCCAACTGTGGTCTCATATAAAGGATTACATTATGTGGCGTGCGAGGTGGATCAAGGCTTTCTCAGATAAGCGCCCCCTGCAGGCCACACGAATGAAACGCAGCAATTTCTTCTGTTATATTTTCCAAAAATGCCCGAAATCAAGACTCTTTTGAGAAATATTTGTTAGTACTCCCTTAGAATTGTGTGTCCCCGATTAAGATTGTTACAACAACCGTACACCGCACAGGATGAGAACCTTTTGACTCCAAAACAGGCTTTACATGGTTTTCAATGGGAGCAAAACTTTGTCCCATCTCTGCTCATTCGCCCCCTCCTGGCCAGGTTAATGCAACCCAAGAATAGGACGTACTTCAATACAACCTGCAGGTTTTCATGTTGCTATGAAGCAATACAACAAGATTTAATGACGAGTTGTTTAACAGCTTCACCATTAGCTTCCATCACTCTTCACCGTTAGCTTCCATCACTCTTCACCGTTAGCTTCCATGGCTCATACAAAAATACATTAAATTTAATGTAATTTCATTAAATGAACAAATTAGAATACATATTTTGACTGATTTGTCACATACTGAGAAGCCATTTTAAGCCTTTTTATGTTGCATTTATTACTTTGTACTGACAAATCTGGGAATGGAAGAGCCCCTTACTAACCGCTCTCATGTGAATATGCACCAGAGAACTAGTACCAATGATGGGGAAGTGTTCAATGTTAAAAGAAAGAAGAAAACGAATGACAAGTTTTACAGTCCCAGACGTTACTCTCTCCCACACTTGGCACTTGTAGCCAAGGGGAAAATGTCCCCATTTAGTCTCAGGGTGTATTCACAGATACTGCTTTTGAACCAATTAAAACAGAGCAAAATTAAGATACCTCCACATTAGACAACAACGTCATAGTGAAGAGAAGCTGCTCCTGGTGCTGCTCAAGATGAGTTTGGACGATTTACTGACTAAAGTGAATGTTGCTTTTAGGGAAGAATGGCAGTGGCTGCAGGCCCTGACCTCTTTGGACGAGACGATAGAGATGGACCAGGACGTGCAGAGCGCCCCTCACAGGCTGCTGCAGGATCTACGCTGTGCCATCAAAGACCTGATGGCTCACATCAATGTCCCAGGAAACCAGGTAAGCCCCTCACAAGAACACAGAGATGTTCTGACTGTGGTAAAACCTTGTGGCCTCAGAGAATGATCCACAAAAATGTGCGTTTGTGTTCTCAGGTCCAGGACTTCCGTATCTACAGTCAGGAGGTGGTGGAGTTTGGGCAGAAGGTGTCCTTCCTTCTGCTGCTGCCTCCTTCCGACGAAGTGTGCACAGCTCCTGGGCAGAACAACCCCTACTCTCCCCGCTCCGGCTTCCTCACGCTGCCTCTGCAAGTCTTTGAACTGGGTAAGTCTACGGCAGAAAACAGTCCGAGTGTACTTTAACTTTCACTTCAACAACATTTATGGACTTGTTTGAACTGTTAGAATCTCTGAACTGTGTTGGAGAATTCAATGGTCCTGTGAGATAAATTGATTTAGGGCGAAACAAAAGGAATTGATATGAATTGAATTGCTCACAATTTGTTTTAACTTCAAAGTCAATGGCTATGACATAAATGATATTTTTCTTCTTTTTCAGTGCATTTCAACGCCTATTCCGCTGAATTCATCGGCCAGTACTGCCGCGTGTCTGCCCTCCTGGAGCTGGAGTCCCTGATGTCCCAGCAGGCTCTGAGGGAAGCCTTCTCGGAGGCGGAGCTGCTGCAGGCCAAAAAGAAACACCAGCAGATCCAAGACCACATGCAGGTATCCACACAGGCCTCACACTGTTCTGTTCATGATGTGACTGACAGACTTAACCCACGCTCGTGCTGGCGTCCCGCAGCAGATGGAGGAGGTGTGGCGAGACGTGCGCTGGATCATGGATGCCCTGCAGTACGCTCGCTACAAGCAGCCCACAGGAGGCATCTGCATCAGCTGGATAATCGACTTCTCCAAAGAAGTGCTCCCAGACAAACCCCTGTCGACCTCCTCCCAGCCAGACTTCATGCCCTCCCCCAGCCCCTCCCCAGAGCCCTGCCACAAGCACTCCGGTAAGATCCAACACCGCCAACCGAGCAGCGGTATATTAGAGACAGGGATTTTCAAAATATAATCTAATATTTGTTATGCTAGTAATATGAATTTCTAGTATAGTATTTTCTTTCTGCCAGTTTATGTCCCGGATATTTTGTTAGTATTTTCCAGAATTGTCTTTATTCTGTGACATGGGTCTTTCTCCACGAGTATTTGGCTCGAATTTTTGCCCATTCCTCTTGACAGAAGTGGAGTCAGTTTTGTGAGACACTTCAGTTTCACACGCCTAATCTGCCCATTTTGTAAATACTTTGGCCGTATGCTTTGTGTCATTGTCCATTAGGAAGGTCCATCTCCACCCAAACTGATTCAATATTTACAAATACTATTACCCTCTTGAACTATTTTATGAAGTACAGCAGTTCTTCCCATAAAACAAAACAGCCCCTGAACCCCACAACATGAGACTACCACCCCCATGCTATGTATGTGTTTGTGCATGTGTTTGCATGTTTACAATTTAAAACCTGACTTTTTGTTTTGTGTAATGAGATAATGACACACTCATTCAACCTGAACTATTTCACATTGTTTTTAGTGGTAGGGGAAACCGGAGCACCCGGAGGAAACCTATGCAGACACAAGGAGAACATGCAAACTCCACTCAGAAAGGCCCTGTTCCAACCGGGATTCTAAACCAGAATCATCTTGCTGAGAGGCGAGAGTGCTGTCCACTCTCTGGCCACCATACTATATACTATATAGAGTATCTTAGGTGCAATAAAGATGTGATGTGCAATCCAAAAGGTGACCGTAGCAGTGCTAGGTTCCAGGTCTAGTGCAGGGCCTCTGTTGGTAACTGTCTAAATTGAACCAAACTCACAAATATGCATTCTTTAAACCCAATGCCATACGTTTCAGATTTTGCTGGCTTGTCAGACGAGGAGGGCTCCTCTGAAGTCTTCCTCACCACAGACAGCGACTACGACTCGAGTCGAGCTCAGAGTCCGCGGGAGCTGGACCTGCTGCCCCCCTCCCCCCTGTCCTGCACCGCGCCCCTGGAGTCGCGGGGGCTCCTGCGCAGCGACGGCAGCAGCTCTGGAGGATGCATGGGCAGCGGAGGCCGAGGAGTGCTCCGAGACTCCACTCCGGACGTCCTTCAGGCCTCGGAGCACAGGGAGGGGGAGCGCTGTGGAGGGGGGGGGCTGGGGGTGCGGAGGAGAGGAGCCCCGGAGCTGTTCGACAGTGACTTTATCCTGCCCAGTCGACAGATCGAGTTGCTGCACATCACGGAGAAGAAGCAGGCTTTCTGTGTGCGCACCAGCAGCTTGGAGTTCCCCCCTCTCAGCGCGTCCCACCACCAGCCTTACCCCCATCCCAGCTGCCCCTCGGCCTCGGCCTCGCCACACAAACGCCTGCACCGGCCCTCGTCCGTGGACCGCTGCTGCCCCCCCGACCGCCCCCCACTGTCGTCCTCGGCTCGCACCTTATCAGAGGACAGCGGCACCCAAAGACTCACCTCCCCCTCGGCTCTCAGGAAAGGCTGCCACGTCACGCTGCGGGTGTACCCTCAGTACTGCACAGGGCTGCCCCAGGACACGTGTGTGAAGGTATCGCACTTCTCACCACAGCATCACACACATTAACACACACAACTGAACTCATACGGCAAACGTCATTCAATCTGTAGACTCAAGCTATGTGTTTATTGAGTTTATAGACTTATCGTGGACTTTTCGTGGACGTGAGTAACAGGAAGTGACAAACTAGGAAATTGCTTTGGCTCTCGGTGCAAACAAGTCAAAGCAGAATAAAAACAAGAAGGTTCTCAAGTTTACTATTCACAAGTGCACTAGGCACACAACGGACCGTTAAGAGTGCGGTTGAGTGCAGTAAAGTTACTTTGGCCAAGTTACAAAAACGTATTATATGTTACTTGTTACTGTTATTTCAAAGTGATCAACTTAAATATTAGCCTCTGAATCGTAAAGCAATACACTACTACTGCATTACTTTGAATTGACTTGAACCAAATATATAAATACGTATTAAATGTAGCTGTTGATGCTCTATTGCGTAAGTTTGAAATAACTTTTGCTTAAAGTGCACTTATGCTTCACATCTTTGTCTCCAACAAAGTCTAAATAACGGGAGTCTGTCCATCTGTGAAATGTACTATTGTCGACGTTGTGCTGCTGTTGCTTCTGCTTCTGCTTCAGCTTCAGCTTCAGCTTCAGCTTCTGCTTCTGCTTCTGCTTCTGCTTCTGCTTCTGCTTCTGCTTCAGCTTCAGCTTCTGCTTCTGCTTCTGCTTCTGCTTCTGCTTCTGCGTCTGCGTCTGCGTCTGCGTCTGCGTCTGCGTCTGCTTCTGCTTCTGCTTCTGCTTCAGCTTCAGCCGTCTTCTACCAGAACGAAACAATACTTAGGAGGCTACTATTCGTGCAGATTTTGTTCTTCTTTGCTGACCTCGCGGTGGCACAGTAACACAATTCAATGTTTAGTTAAAATGCATTTTAACACACGTCACTGACATTTGTACAGCGTAAAATATGACCCAGGATTTGTTTTGCCTTTCATTATCACATTACAGCAAAAAGCAAGTAAGATGTTACTCCCAACACTGTACAATGGTTAGTGCATGATGACCAGGCAGGCGTAGTAGTAGTAGTAGTAGTAGTACTATGGTATCATGTGATATTCATGACATATCAATTTGGTTTTGGTGCTTAGATCCCTGCGGAAATGTTGCATGACTTAAAGGTATTTTGGAGGATTTCTATTGGTTCTCCAAATTGTCAATAGTGGTAAATTAGGAAAATCCTCCTATATACCTTTAAGCAGGAGGGAATCAGATAGAACTCTTCGAAGTGAATTCCCCCTGAGTCCAAACCCTGGTGGTGGTGGAAGCTGAGGTGATGAGCTGATGATGGAGAGTGACGTACCACTGTTGAGATGGTTACGGGGAGGAGGCGGGTGGCTGCACAAGCTGAACGGGCTCTATGCTCTTTAAATGCAGCGGGTGAAGCAGACACTGTCAGTAGAGGCACAGGTGTTTAGATGTGGGAGAAGTGAAGAGGTGGAAAGTGATCTCAGAAATATTTATTCCCTTCATGAAAAAAACAACATCTAGAACCTACACCAGGGGTTTCCAACCTGTGGCTCTGGAGCTAACAGTAGCTCGCCATCCCCTTTCAGGTAGCTCCACAAAGGACTCAAGAATGCAACACATGATCTTGACTTGACAAATGATCCATTTTAACTATAAATCTTGTCATTAATGCTGTACGGTGTAATGGTATATTATGTATGTGTGTTCTCAGTAATTTTCTGTATTCATTCTATATTCTGCACGTTATTGTTCCATGCGTTACATGCGTTTTGGTGAAAAGATGGAATAAAAGTAGTTTAAAAGCACATGTTATTTGGCCCCAGGTCTCACAGTGCTCTCTGTCCTCCAGCTGTGCGTGACCCCGGGAACGTCGGCGCAGGAGATGGTGCAGCTGGTAGTGCTGGAGATGAACAGCGTGGCCCGGCGGCTCCTGCGCACCAGCGACGGCGGAGACTGTGAGTGCGCCTACTACAGCCCAGAACAGTTAAAACACTTTGGACTCGTGCTGGTCCTGGACAATAAAGAGAAGTGGCTCCAGGACGACTTCTGTCCTCTGGAGCTGCAGAACCCCTGGCTGCGAGGGAAACTGTGTGTGCGGCTCAAGGAATACTCTCCGCTGGCGCTGACCCAGAGCCACGGCACGACTGTGTGATGTCACATGCACGTATGGACACTCACTCCGCAATCCGCACTGCAGCTACGAAACCAGTTATCGGGAAAAGTTTGTGGAGACTTCTATGAAATCTCTCCAGCGTTTTATACACTCGATAGGAGCTCATATTCTTGGGTTTCATTTGACGTGAGACCAGTGGCGCGAATAACAAACGTAGGACAGGACGTGACGTATTCTGGTGGTGCAGTCTGCCGGGTTCATACACAGAGATTTAGTAGAAGAAGAAGCGCTGTCAAAATGCCATCTTTTTGTGCGGCGTACGCTTATAGCAACCGCACGAATAGAGAGAAAGACAAGAGTTTCTTCAGTTCTTCCAACTGTGGTCTCATATAAAGGAGGACACTTTGAAAAAATCACTCGAATGAGGCGGGCGAGGTGGATCAAGGCTTTCCCAGATAAGCGCCCCCTGCAGGCCACCCAAATGAAACGCAGCAATGTCCTCTGGTTTTCAATGGGAGCAAAGCTGAGTTGTCCCATCTCTGCTCATTCGCCCCCTACTGCCCAGTTTAATGAAACCCAAGAATAGACACCAAATCAGTCATGTCTGAACAAAACAAAGAGCTTAATCTCTTCAGTGTCAGAAGTCAGTGATTGACAGTATTCTTTCTGGTGTCACCAGCAAACAGGGCAGTACAGGTCCAGCTGTTGTGCAAGTCTTTGGTGCTGTCTGTTAGCTAGCCGATAGTTACCCCACCTCTTCCCTCTGTACAGCCAGTTGTCAGTAGCAGCCCACTAATAAAACCACTACGTTGTGAATTCAAACCAGCGCATCCAGACTCGTAAAGAAGAGGAAAAACTCGAAGCAATACTTGAAAATGTTCGTGAGCTTTCTGTGCAGAGGACTGGAGTCCCGCTGTGCAGAGCTGAAGCAGTTAAGTATTTTTGTTGTGCTTCGTTCGGTGGTATTCCCAGATGCGTCAGGAACCGGTGCCCGTCAGTCTAGAGCCGAGTCTCCCTGAGGATTCTGGTGTGAAAGGGATGACTTAAGTTGTCAAGAGGCCCAACATTTGTAAACAAACTCACATACCACGTATTCCAAACGAATTCTTGAACTGCTTTCGAAAAGTTATTTATGAAGTGACTCTGATTTAGCTCCGTTGTGTCAAGCCTCTGCCTCTTCCAGCTCTAAACCCAGCTATTGTTAATGGCATTTTCGTCAGCATTGGGATGAGATTTAAAATGTTATTGACTGATTTCATTCATCAAGCCTATTTTTTGGAGGAAACTGATGTTATTTCAAGTTGTACATTACATTAGCTTACACATGTAGCGGCAGAGAGAGCAGGGTGACGTTAGCGGACCTGGCCTCCAGCACTGTAGCACTCCAGGTTCTGAAAGATGGAGAGCAAGCCTCTGCTGGATTACAACTGTACAAGTGTTTACAAGGAGCCCTCCACAATGTGTTTACGTGTAACTACTGTAAAAAAGAAAAGAAACGCTAAAACAAATGTATCAAGACAAACTGTAAATGTGGTAGTGCGTGGATGTCACTTTGTTTTTATCAGCACACATACTTTCGGTGATTGAATGTACTGTACGGGGCCAATAATGTGAACGTACACGGACGTGGGGTCAGAGGTCCGGGGGGTTGGAGCTGAGAGATTTCAGATTTCCAGTGAAAATACTTTAGCCCCATGTTTACAAGGAGCTGTTGGCAGATCCATCAGGTCCACTCACTCATGAAGGAGACATCACGTCATTTTTTTACATTCTATTTTTATGGAAGAATAAATGGATATTCAAAGTAAATGTTTATGTGGATTATTTTCTCTTCGGCAAAAACACGTCTCGAGGAAGCTCCAATAACAACAACACAATCGTTAAATGCACACATGCACTCTGCTTTACCGTCAGATGGGTTTTAGGCACAGACCTTCCACCATGAGACCAGAACAAGCCTTGGTTTTAAGCCACATTTGGATTTTCACAGGGGCTTAGGCCTTTACTATGGGGCTCTATCTTTACTCATGATATATTCCCAGAAGGAGACCACAGGGCCAATAGAAATGGAAATAAATGACAAATAGTGGGCACTTGTTTCTACAGATGCTATAGTGGAATGACCTCACCAGCGTTTGACACCCAGCCGATGACAACAGCGCGGTGGGCAGCTGCGAGTGGGCACCTCCAACAGTAACACTACTATTCTACACCAGGGGAGTCCCTTAAAGTCGCACCTCATGTATGTTGCTTTAGTGACTCATATGTGAAATGTGAACAGTTATTTTTTGCTACTGTGCTGCTTGTGATGTGCATAAATCTAATGAAAAACCTCAACGTAAAATCTGTTTCCAAGACTTTTCTGCAGAAAGAGCCTGTTGCACAAAGGGACAGTTCAACAAAGATCAGGAAAAGAAAGGTTCTGGAGAGAAACAGATGCATCAATACAGACGCAAAATCAAGGAATACATTTCAATAGTTTAAAAATGAATGAACTCTTTAGGGAAATATTATAATCAGCATAAAGGAAAAAAATCAAGAACCAGTTGAAATGTCCTTGTCTAAAACACTTTATTGAAACAAAAACAACAGCAGCTTGTCTCTTTTCATTTTCCTTCAGCATCAACTACAGCTCGACATCAGTATCTCAGGTTCCAACAAGTCGACTGCTGAGGCGCAGAGTCCCCTCCTCTAGAAGAGCCTCAGGACCCTGAGGGTCTGGGTTTTCTATGGATTCAGATCTGGGGGAAACCAGCACTGAGCTCCTGTGGACTGAGGTCCCCTGGACCAGCCTGAGCCTGCTGGTGTGGCCTTCAGCCTGTCTAGAACAGTGGTTCTAAGTGGGGGATGGGGCCTCATGGTGGCAGCGGGCACTAGCTGAGGGTCTAAAGATTATCTTTTTTTATAAACTTATTTCCATGTCGTGGAGGTCCTGCTTAAGTGAAGTGTGGGACCCCCGTGGAGCAGAGCTCACATGGTCCTGAGTGGCGTTGATGATGGTTCTGCAGGACAGTGGTTCCAGTGTTGGGAGTGAAGTGTTCATTAGTGACTCTCGACAGGTTTGAGTCCCTCATTAATGACATGTGTTTACATCAGCCTTAACCCCCACACTTACATCTGACACTATCTGGATCTGTTGAGTTCACTCATGAAGCCAGATCCAAATTCCAACCAATCAGCTTTGCTTTTAAAGGCCTCATATCTCAGAGCACGCTCTCCTGCCCTGTGTTTTTTCAACCCCAGAGTAAATAAAACGCTGTGTGCTTCGCTGTCAACAGACTCTCCCAAACACTGAGTCACAACCGGAGACACAAACACACTGAGCCTGGAACACAGCAGCGTGAGCGTGAAGTGTTGGAGATCTATATCAAGGATGATCACTGTCCACAACACTTTCAGAGCTGCTCTTTACGTTTATTGACAGTGACTTAATAATTGTTGTGGAATTTTGACACCTTCTAATTTTAACCGTGCGTCTCTAAGAGGACCCAATCTAAAATTAACTGGTATATATCTCAATCCTACAAAGAAAACATTCCTCAGCGTGAATAGTGGCCATTCATGCTGCTAAAAAACATTGGATGTGAGTTCTGCTTATGCCCGAGACTCTGGACTCGTCAGAATCTGAGCGACGGTCGTTCTCTCGCCTCCAGATCCATGTGAGCGCCGCTCTTTGTTCGAGCAGATTCTGGACGTGAGCAGAAAAAGTGTGTGGACTCAGCATGACCCACCTATGTCTCCCGCTCCTGACCTCTCCTCAGGTTAAGGCAGATTAGCAGCCAGAGCCACGGCCGCCTTCACACACGGAACGTTAGATGCTAAGCAAAAGGCTCCGCAGAAATATGGTTGGTAAAGGCATTCCTCTGGACATACATCTCAATTCAATTTGTATTTGTACAGCCCTTAATCACAACAGCAGTGATCTTGGAGGACTGAAGACATTAAGGTCAGGTCAGCAGGTAGAGCTTGGACCGAAGCGGTGAAACTTGTCCCACTCCTGGTCCTGGTCTGCAGATCGCCCTCATCCTGTGCCCCGGTCCCTACCCCTACCCCTGCCCCTCTCCTTATCCCTTTCCCTGCCCTATCTCTGCCCCTCTCTCTCTCCCCTATATTTGTCCCTGCCCTGTCCCTCTTTTTGCCTCTGTCCCTTCCCTTATCCCTGTTATGTCCTTATCCCTTTCCCTCCCCTATCTCTGCCCCTACCCCCCTCCCTATACCTGCTCCTGTCCCTGCCCTCATACCTGTCCCTATCCCTGCCCCTACCCCTGTTCCTGCCCCTATACCTGCCCCTGTCTATACCCCTATCCCAACCTATCTATGTCCCTACCCCTGCCCTTACCCCTGCCCCTCTGTCTGATAATCCATGGCGTACATGTAGTGTGGCGTTTGTTTTCGGGGCGAGTGAGAAAGTGAAGCCTGCCACTACTACTGCATCACTCATTTCTCTCTCATCCATTCTCTCCCTCCCTCCCCAGGGCCCATAAACCTTTAAAGCACCTATAAAACACTTGGCGAGGCCTTTTTGAAGTTTTTATGAAGATCTGGCTTTATTGTTCCCAAGAGATGAGCCCCGCTCCACTGGCGCCTCAGAGCTTTCTGGAAGTGCCAGTGAATTCAGGAGGAGGGGGCTGGTTGTGGGGCGTGGGGCGGGTGGCAGAGAATAGGGAGTCCCGGGGCATCGCTCTGTTCGACTTTTATCCGCGTAATCTACAAGCATCGAAGATAATCCCGGTGTAGTTTGAACACGACCACGGACAAACAACTTTATCTTAGACTTTCACCACCTTTAAATGTGATACTACCTTAAAATGTGATGTATTTAAAATGGGATACTACCTTAAAATATGATACTGCCTTAAAATGTGATACTACCTTATAATGTGAAATAATTAATTCCTATACTTTGCCTTAAAAATACTACAAATAAAACAAAAAAATAATAATAAAATAAAAACTGAACATAAAAAATATATTGTTGCAGTAAATATGTATTTTGAGTTTGAAATCAGTAATATGTATTTTATTTTAATTCTTATTTTACCTGTATGGGTCTATATAAACATTTACAAGTTGCTTCTTCCCAATTCTTTGGTTCTAATACAGTCAGTAAATGTCAAAGACGATTCACCAAAATAAATACTTTCATTAATTGCATCTTAACACAAATGTTATGTATTTATTTGTTTTGTTTGCGTCAAACAACTGAGTGACAGTAGCTCAGTTGGTAGAGCGTTGGCCTTTGGGCCTGAAGGTCGTGGGTTCGAGCCCACCTCAAGACCTACTTCGCGACTCCCACTGATAACTGCTGTCGTTGTGTCCTTGGGCAAGACACTTAACCCCACTTTGCCTGAAGCCTCCACTGAAAGATCTCAGCTCTTGTGGACTCACCACCTGCAGGAGGATCAGTGAGGGGCTGGTGCTCTGTGTACTGGGTGCAGCTCTGACTGCCACCCCCCCGACCCAGAAATGGATTAAGGGGAAGAAAATGGATGGATTGTTTTGTTTGTTTGGATGGATGTGTTTCTTTTTTATTATTAGTTTATTTGACAGGGACATTATGCATTAATAAATATTTCAGTAAATGCGCCAGAATTAGACAATTTCTTCTGCTACTGGACACCTGCATCCATCCAACTATCTATCTAACTGACTATCTATCTATCTAACTAACCAACTGACTATCTATCTAACTGACTATCTATCTATCTAACTAACCAACTGACTATCTATCTAACTCTATCCATCTATCTATATATCTATCTAACTAACTAACCAACTAACTATCTATCCATCTAACTAACTCTATCTATCTATCTATCTAAAATAACTGCATTCATTCCTTCACTTCTGGAGCAGGAGTTCAAAGCAGATGTGTGGGTCCTGTGCGGCGGCTCGTGGGGCCAGCAGGTTGCATCCTTGTTGTTTGAAGTGAAGCTCTGTTGTTCTCCTCGAGCCGGACCCCCCCGTCTGTCTGATCCAGCGGCACCAGCACCCTCCCTCTGCAAATCCCAGCTCCGCCGCACCGGCCCCTCAAAGGAACAGTTGGCAAACGGGACGGGCCCATTCCACAGGCCCTCACCTCATGGACGTGATGGATCTGAGAGAGAAGACCCCAGAGAGCTGCATGAACCAGTGTGTACCTGTGCTCACATGAACCAGTGTGTACCTGTGCTCACATGAACCAGTGTGTACCTGTGCTCACATGAACCAGTGTGTACCTGTGCTCACATGAACCAGTGTGTACCTGTGCTCACAAGAACCAGTGTGTACCTGTGCTCACATGGGTCTGCCCTTGCTCTGATACCGGCCTCCGCTGCTCTCTCTCTCTCTCTCTCTCTCTCTCTCTGTCTCTGTGTCTGTCTCTCTCTCTCTGTCTGTCTCTCTCTCTTTTTGTGTGTCTGTCTCTCTCTCTCTGTCTCTCTCTCTCTCTCTCTCTCTCTTTCTCTCTCTGTCTGTCTCTCTTTCTCTCTCTGTCTGTCTCTCTCTCTCTCTCTGTGTCTGTCTCTCTGTCTCTGTCTTTCTCTGTCTGTATCTCTCTCTCTCTCTGTGTCTGTCTCTCTGTCTGTGTCTGTCTCTCTGTCTGTATCTCTCTCTCTCTGTGTGTCTGTCTCTCTCTCTGTGTCTGTCTCTCTCTCTGTGTCTGTCTCTCTGTCTGTGTCTGTCTCTCTCTGTCTCTGTCTTTCTCTCTGTCTGTATCTCTCTCTCTCTCTCTCTTTCTCTCTCTGTCTGTCTCTCTCTCTCTCTGTGTGTGTCTGTCTCTCTGTCTGTGTCTGTCTCTCTCTCTGCCTGTGTCTGTCTCTCTCTCTCTGTCTGTCTCTCTCTCTCTCTCTCTGTCTCTCTCTCTCTGCCTGTGTCTCTCTCTCTCTCTCTGTGTCTGTCTATCTCTCTCTGTCTCTCTCTCTCTCTCTCTCTCTTTCTCTCTCTGTCTGTCTCTCTTTCTCTCTCTGTCTGTCTCTCTCTCTCTCTCTGTGTCTGTCTCTCTGTCTCTGTCTTTCTCTGTCTGTATCTCTCTCTCTCTGTGTGTCTGTCTCTCTCTCTGTGTCTGTCTCTCTGTCTGTGTCTGTCTCTCTCTGTCTCTGTCTTTCTCTCTGTCTGTCTGTATCTCTCTCTCTCTCTCTTTCTCTCTCTGTCTGTCTCTCTCTCTCTGTGTGTGTCTGTCTCTCTGTCTGTGTCTGTCTCTCTCTCTGCCTGTGTCTGTCTCTCTCTCTCTGTCTGTCTCTCTCTCTCTCTCTCTCTCTCTGTGTCTGTCTCTCTGTCTCTGTCTTTCTCTGTCTGTATCTCTCTCTCTCTCTGTGTCTGTCTCTCTCTCTGTGTCTGTCTCTCTGTCTGTGTCTGTCTCTCTCTGTCTCTGTCTTTCTCTCTGTCTGTATCTCTCTCTCTCTCTCTCTCTTTCTCTCTCTGTCTGTCTCTCTCTCTCTGTGTGTGTCTGTCTCTCTGTCTGTGTCTGTCTCTCTCTCTGCCTGTGTCTGTCTCTCTCTCTCTGTCTGTCTCTCTCTCTCTCTCTCTCTCTCTGTGTCTGTCTCTCTGTCTCTGTCTTTCTCTGTCTGTATCTCTCTCTCTCTCTGTGTCTGTCTCTCTCTCTGTGTCTGTCTCTCTGTCTGTGTCTGTCTCTCTCTGTCTCTGTCTTTCTCTCTGTCTGTATCTCTCTCTCTCTCTCTCTCTTTCTCTCTCTGTCTGTCTCTCTCTCTCTCTGTGTGTCTGTCTCTCTGTCTGTGTCTGTCTCTCTCTCTGCCTGTGTCTGTCTCTCTCTCTCTCTGTCTGTCTCTCTCTCTCTCTCTCTGTCTCTCTCTCTCTGCCTGTGTCTCTCTCTCTCTCTGTGTGTCTGTCTCTCTGTCTGTGTCTGTCTCTCTCTCTGTCTGTGTCTGTCTCTCTCTCTGCCTGTGTCTGTCTCTCTCTCTCTGTCCGTCTGTGTCTGTCTCTCTCTCTGTCTGTGTCTGTCTCTCTCTTTCTCTCTCTCTCTCTGTCTCTCTCTCCCTCCCAGAAACCGCTCAAACTCTAACCATAACTGACAAGAAGCTTCACTTTAAACATATGAATAAAACCACAGTGAGTTGTGGGTTGAGGACCATCGATGCCCGCTCCCGTTTGAACCGAAGATCCTCAAACACGAGTCCCCTCTCAGACCTGAGGCTGCTGAGCTTGTGGTCCGCTTCCCAAACCTTTCCCATTTTGAATAAAGCCTAAACTTTCCCTGGCACAGGCTTCTCTCAGCAGCGCCTTCGATGGTTTCTACTGATGTCATGTAAAGGGGCAGAGAGCAGAGCTGTGCGGTGAGACAGAATAACTGTGTCACATGGTTTTATGGTTACACTTTAGTTTCCAAAGCCTGATACTACACCTGTGCTGAACGCTCAATCTTTCCACGAAACCTTGTTAAATGTTTATCTGTTTAGTTTTAGAGGTCGATAAATACAGCCAGGTTTCTACGGGACATGGACGTTCTGTCAGAGGTGAGTTTCATGTCTGGTCAAACATTTCTCCGTAAGAAAAGTGAACGTTTGGGTTTAGGTCAAACTATCCACTTTCTATTCTAACCCTTCAGAAATCCTCCGCTGCGGTTGTTACATTATTTTCACCACCGACACCTGCCGTAAACCTGGTCAAACCTAGCCTGGCCTTATCCATCCGTACACTAAGCTCATTATCATTTCCTGCATGTAACGTCTGGGTCTGGTCCCTGTGTCTGCGATTACAATCAGTTGAATTCCATCCGACCAATCAGCGAGCGCGGGAGGCGGGTGTTGTAGTTAGATGTGGGTGACGTCAAGAGTTTGCGTCGAACGGGCAGGTTGTAGTTTGGCGAAAAATGCGATAGTAAAGTAATCCGGTCTGTTTCTATAAAGAAATTGAAGTAGGAGCAAGAGGAATGTTTAGCAAATGTAATCGCTGGCAGAAATTGTGGCGCTACTCCCCACGGGCTCTGTTAGCGGCAAAAGAGATGGCTAGGCTAAATGCTAAATGCTAACGACTCACTCGGGCACATTACATACGTCACGGTAAACTCAGATCCAATCGTTTCAATCTGCAAAAGGAGTTAGCCCCTCCCACCTGTTAACGGAGCTCAATGGAGCACCTATAGGCCTTAGTACGAAATGTAAGTTGTACTATGGTGTGGTACGACCAGGCTAGAACAAACCTTTTTCTTCAGAGATATCAAGACAAACAGTGAAATGTTATACTTTTATTTTGCTAGTTACATGCGAAGCCTTTATTTTTTCGGCTTATTTCCTGTTTCCAGTTTTAAGTTATAGATGAAAATACCACAACTTGTAATTTGTGGTCTGTTTGTGTCGGCCGATAGTCGATTACTGCAATTCTAATTTCTACAATTTGTGCTCAGCGGGTGAAGTCTCCTCTCATCTCTAACATGAGTTAGTTTGGGTGGATGGCCTCCCTGACTGCGACAGGCCCTTGACACTAACATTGACCATGGACCAGCCACTGTCCCAAAACGTATGGACTGGGGTAATTCCTTCACCGTCTGGATGTAAACGAACTCTCTAACTAAGATCGCTGATGCAGGAGGGTCCGAGGACAGTGGTGATGATCCAGGACCCTCCACATTCAACCACATTTATGGACATCATCGGTCATGTGGATAATTAACCTCACAGACGGGATCTTTACGCACTAGAGCCACCTGGACGTTTATTCTCAGTTTCCTTCGGTTTTTTTCAGACAGAACGTAGTTAGAACAAGCATCACACATACAGTACGTCACACATGGAAAGACATACTGTACGTGTCACATCAAGAGACAATCAGAACAAATTAGAGTCACAACACGGACACACAATCATAACAGACACACAATCGGAGTCCTTGTGACATACCGAAGGCCAGATCTCTTGCACAGCTCTCTAACTCCCATCGTCATCTGCCCCTTATGGACCAATGGCTCTATGTGTTTTTTATCGCTGCATTTCTTGTGTTTGAGCTGTTTGATTTTCTGAGTCCTCCAAGATTTAGGATAGTACGAACACAGATTGATCTGAATTGATGCTCTGCAGTTAAAACACAAGTCGTTTATGTCGTTTCAAATCCATTGTCGTCCCACATACACTCAAAAAAATCGGAGAATCGTGTCCAGGTCCCACCATTTACAGATTGATAGAATTCAAAAAAGTATCCTCTTCTCCCCAAAAAATATTCGCCTGAAACTGGATCTGTCAGACATGCTGCTTAGATGTGCTTGTACACACATAGATGCCGCTCCAGCTCCCTGTGTGCCCACCGATGATGTCATTCTTTCTGCAAACTTGTAGGTTGGGGGAAGTCTAGAAAGAGGGGGGGGGGGGGGGGGGGGGATTCCTTTGGTGCCTTTCAAGTAGGCAGGGGGAGCATGGGCCGCTGTGGGGTAGAGACAGTATGAGGGCAAGAAGAGAGGCTCAGCCGTGCCACCCCCATCCCTCCACAAACCCTCCACAAACCCTCCACAAACCCCACCCAGCCAGCAGTCACATTAGGCACGCTCCGGCCACCAAATCAAAGGCTCCCACTTGCACCAGCACACACCAAGGCAAGCATCCATGTTCGGAGCCCAGTCGAACGAGCGTGTTAACACTCCCAAACAAACGTGTGCCTAAAAATAACTCCCTGCCTCAATGCATAGTGACATACCAACACATCAAACGCACTTCAATCATCCCCACACACACCCCCCCAGCTGTGTTTTTGTTTTGAAAATATGATTGCGGTGACGGATGGGGTGGATAGAGCTGCGGGCTTTGGCAGGGGCGAGTGGCAGGGCCCCTCCATTGTCCGGGACCAGTGTGAGTCTGTGTCCATAGCTATAGAAACTGGGGCCACACGGAGAAGGCATGCTTTCATCTCCACCACAGGCTCACCGCTGGCAATAAGGGGTCAAATAAATCCACACGGACACACCGAGAGACAGGAGCTCTCTGAGGCACAGTCGGGCACACGGCTTGTTTACCTGATGCGTCGCTGTTCGGGAAGATTTGTGCATAATAGAGGAGTCGGTAACAGTCGCTATGTACGCTATAAAGATGACCTACTTATGAACTATGTGCAGTGCCTTTTACAAATGATTTGTGTCCAATCACATTTTGTTTCATTACGACCACAAACGGAGAAAAAAGAAAGACCAAGGCAAAGTGACGGACGACTGAGAAGTTAAAGTAAAATAGATACAGTTTATCGATGCAACGTCGGATGAATTCAGAGGTTCAGCAGCAGAAACATCCATTCATACAAATAAATGAATGATTCTAGTTACTAACATAACATAACAGCAATATGTAAGATTTTCATGTCATTAAAGGGCCCTAATCTGTCAAAAGGCATTAATAAAACATGCTCTTTTCCAATACTTCTTTAAATGATAATAATAGTTCAGTCAAGATGGTTGAATTCAAATTATCCACCGTTTCACCAATCAGAAAGTCTGTGATCTGGGTTGCCAGAACTCACCGCGTCAAGCTAATCTCACTTGTGGCCACAGTATGAAAAAGGCCTTGTTTTGATTCTCAAATCATTAATAACAAAACAAGGAATAAAACCAGGATTTCTATCTTTGTCAAAAAGGTGTTGGTTATAGATTTGTTGTTGACAAAACTTTTGTCTATTAAGACTATTATGATTCCATCTGGCAACCTGAGTCAGGGAGAGTGGGAGAGGCTGCAGTACCACTTTTGGCCAGATTTTTTACATACTGCTCCTTTAACACCTGAAAAGAGTGGCTTGCAAATGCATTGTGCGACCCATTGCGTTTAGAGGTTTACTGGTGATGGCTGAATAATGAAATGTTGGTGGAATATTGGGGACTAAACAGAGACAGAGAGGTCAGGATACATCTAAAGCATAACGTCATACAAAGATTGTCCGGGAATGCAACTAGTTCATGACAACTGCAAACCTACACGCTGCAGACATAGAACGCCAGTGTTTGTACATAGCCACAAGAATGAAAAGCAAAAGGACTGTGGTCAGAGGAGTCCAACATTTCGATATTAAATACCGAAGGCTATTTGAGGCGGAAACCTGGTGGTGGTAGCATCATGCTGTTGAGCAGATTTTCTTCAGCAGGGACAGAGAAGAGTGTCTTGATGGTATGGTGAATGATGCAAAAAACAGAGATGACCAAAAGACTTGATAGAGAATGATGCGATGGATATGCACATACCATCAGGACAATCTGATGCCAGGTTCACGCCAGAGATTTTTGTAATCCTGTATCATATTTCTTTAAAGTCGTTTGTCGCTGTGTAGCCTGGTCTTAACTACAACCAGAAAATTTGGCGCAAACTCTTGACGTCACCAACTTCAACCCACAACACCCGCCTCCCATGCCCGCTGATGGATCGGATGGGATTCAACAGCAGACACTAGGATCAGACCCAGACGGTACATGCAGGGAAATGATAATTGACCGGAGTCTTCTACAAAAGGTCCCCAAAAATATCTTCTTGTTTTGTGGTTGTAATGTGACAAAGTGTGGAAAGGTTCATGTGGTATGAATATGTTTTGAAAAATTTCAAAAGTATAGGTGTTTGAGATTGTTCTGGCCCCATTAAAAAGTTAAATATTGATACTGAACTAATTTCCAGACGCAGAACTAAAATAAACAACCCCATGCATAAACCATTACTAAAACAAGCACGCAAAGTCTGTAAACATCTGTAATCTTCTCTTTGGTGGAGACCCATGTAACACCGGAGCACAATGTTGGTCGTTGGATTCGCAAAGTCCTGAGACATTCCAGTCGTATGCACACACAAACACACATGTAGGACTCTTTCTGTTGACAACAAACACACATGCAAATGCAAAGCAGAAGAGACCGTCTCAAACACCGCTCTCTGACCAGCGTTTTATCGCCTGCAGAGGACCAAAGGCCTCAAGACGCACCCTTTATGGTCCAGCATGTGTCTGTGCTCCGGAACCCTGTGTGGATATTCAGCACCGAGCGTCAACTCAACAAATAAGACGGAAACAGAGGGTAAATAATGGGTAGATTTGACACTGATCAACTCCCGATGGACCAAAACCTGTGTGCTCTCTCTTCTCACTGTTTGATTCTCTGATCTGTGTTTTGAGATAACTACTGTTGTGATTTAGGGCGATCCAAGAATACACTGAATAAATAGGAGCTCTCTCTCTCTCAGTCTGTGATACTGAGGTATTTGTACAACACACTCGATATGAACGCACATCAGGAGCAAGAAAATGACTGAAAAGAAAGCAGTCGTAAAGCGCTGGTAATTTTGCTCTGGGTATTTGTGGATAATCATCTTCCACAACAAAGGAACAAAGACAGATGTCAAGAGAAAGCAAAACCATACAAGAGTTTTTGTTTTTGTTATTTAAATACAAAAATTGAAGCGTGAGGCTGGTACTGTATTCAAACAATTAAAAATGAATCAAAAGAATAATCGTTCATTCCAGGATGACAGCCCTGCATAAGGTTCAGCACAAGCCGGACTCACAACATTTAAGAAGCATCAAATATGTGTTGTGTTATCTGACATTAATGCACTGTATCGCATTTTTACGCATCACTCTCAAATTTAGTGCATTTCTCAGAAAAATAACTGTAAAACCTGGTGGAGAACCTGCAAAAGTTCATCACCTTGTCAAAATGAAAAGTTAATTCCTCAAAATTACGTCTTTATGTCAATGAAACTGTCTGTGTCGTCAAAATAATAAGTCCTGACTCCAGTGTTTATGAACAACAGTCACATGGTTTAGTCATGTTTTCATTGTGACACTTTACTCTCTGTGTTTTCAAAGCAAAGTCAGATCTTAGTGACACTTGAGAACTTTATACAGTCAAGATTAACTTGACTGTATTCAGTGAGGTAACTGAGTACAAGACACACCGTCACATACATGTATTTACGTAGAACAAACATACAGAATATCATTTTGGTAAAACTGACAAATGAGAGAAATTGTTCAATTTAGGAGAGATCCAGTGTAAAGTAGATTCATGTTGAGCAGAAATGATGATCACCAACGAGCTTGTCTTCAGGTGAGCCTCAAAGTTGGTGTCTAATCAAAACAGAACCTTGATCCTTCGATGTCGCCGCTGTATCATTGTGATGCAGAACGTGTTGTATTGTTCACACTTTATTAGGTTCAGACAGGTTAGTTTTACCCGACTGATAACGTGCTGTGGAAGTTTCACACTTATTTCCCTTTTCTCTCCTCTTCTTACTTTCTCTGCCGTCCTTATGACTTCAGCTGTAGTCTGTTCATTGCTATTCACTGTGCCTTTGTTTGTTTCATGGCGTGATGATGGGACCCGGCTTCCTCCATCACTACCTGTGGACTGTCTTCCCCCGGCCCGGACTCGTGGGACTCAGTCGTGTTAACGCTTGGTAACCACCTCAGCCCAGCACGGCGTGGCCTCGGTCCTCGTTCTACAGCCTGAGTCCTGGATCTACAGCCCGTCAGTCCATAAGAACGGACCCCTCCCTCAATGTGGGCCTCCCCAAGGTTCATCCCTTACTCCCACTGGGTCTTCAGAGTTGATTCTTGCCTTCATGGTTCCCGTTTCATTCTCTGATCTGAATCGACAAGTCCTCCGACGGGCAACAGTGGTGGAGGTTTCACACTAATTTCCCCATTCTCTCCTCTTCTTTCTTTCTCTTCCATCATTATGACTTCAGCTGTAGTCTGTTCATTGCTATTCACCCACTGTCCCATTGCTTGTTTCATGGCATGACTGCAGTTGTGATACAAAGGCTGATGCAAATGTGGATGTGGTAAATAGGGGCGACAGTAGCTCAGTTGGTAGAGCATTGGCCTTCAGGCCTGGAGGTCGTGGGTTCAATTCCCACCTCTACACCTTCTCCACCGACTCCCACTGATGACTGCTGTCGTTGTGTCCTTGGGCAAGACACTTAACCCCACTTTGCCCAAAGCCCCCACTGAAAGATCAAGGCTATGCTCACACTCAGAGAGCAGCCGCCCTCCTGTGGACTCACCACCTACAGAGGGTCAGTGAGGGGCTGGTGCTATGAGACTTGGGTGGCATCTCTGACTGCCACCCCCCTGACCCAGAAATGGATTAAAGCAGCCATTCCCAAACTCAGTAACACCGAGGCCCCCTTAAAAATCTGACGGGTCTGCGTGGCCCCCCAAAATAATAACCAAGAAGACAACATTAAGAATAGGCTCTTCTGGTTATTTTATTTTGGGGAAATAGCCTCTGCTACAAACATTGTAATACAAAAATGATTACAGTGGATTATTCAAGTCAAATAATGAACACAAATATTTTAATATTACAAACAAAACATTATAAATTTAACATTAAAAAATTATATTTATTTTTTATTTTTTTTATGACCTCCCGCGGCCCCCCTGCAGTACCCTCGCGGCCCACCAGGGGGCCGCGGACCCCACTTTGGGAGACACTGGATTAAAGGGTAGAAAATGGATGGATGGATGGATGCTGTGGTAAATAACAGCCTGACAGAACCAGCAACTGTCAATATGATCATTTCGGTCGTAACCTTCGACCACCTTCAGCAGAATCCGTCCCATTTCGTACAACTTTTCAGAGTTTGGGAACCACTATGTTGTGTTATCTGACCTAATTTCCCTTTTTTTGAAATATAGTGTTGTGCGTGTGGTGTGTGTGCGTGTGTGTGTGTGTATGCGTGTGGAGCACAGGGAGCCAGTCAGATAGTCAGCCGTCCTGAGGAGAGAGGAGCTCAGAGGGAAGGTCAGCAGCACCAACATGCCACAGACAGACTGACGATACTTCTCCTGGCTGTAATTACACCACACACACACACACACACACACACACACGCGCACACACACACACACACACACACACACATAGTCTCA